TATGTTGTGCCATGGTTTTAAAATCACCACAAGTTGACAAAAGGCATGATCTTGATCTTTGATCTTTCTTCAAATGAGGATTTTGCACATAGCATATCCTTTTTGTGTGTATGCCAAGATAGTGACTTTAAGTAGTATTAATTATTGCTTAATAAAAGTGAAGTTAGAATGGCTGAAGGGGCAAATGAGTAATGAATCTGTATTTTTATGTGTTATAGCTACTTCTGATATTTATAGCTCTCTAGCTTTGTTTTAAATACATCATCGTATTTTTTTGGTTGAAATTATATTTTTATTCAAAATCCAGTCTACTCATTCTATGTTATTCTATATACTATAACTATATCTATAACTTCTGTTATTTTTAGAGCTTCGAAAAAAATTGTAAACACAGCAAATTATTTTCCCCTTGGACTTTTTATATTTTTTTTAAAACATAAAGTTGATTTTGGTTGATTTCTCTTCTAAACCACTATAGTAGTTTTCCAATGGAATCATGTTGAGATTTTCAGAAAGTTAATATATAAAGGAAGTGACTTATCTTTTTCCTACTCTACTTAATGCAGATTTTCACTTAATAAGAGAATTTCACTGAGATCTGAAGGGCTAAAAATGAAGTTTTAATTTGGAACAGCAGTTTGTAACTTTAACTAAACCACTGTACATGTACATTTTCAGATGTACTGTTACCAGTTTTCAAATTCATCATATTATTTTTCCTTAGGACAACCGAATGGTAGAAGAGCTGCCTTTTAGCTGGTGTCACACAGAAAGAAATGCAAAAGTGAAAACTAGCAAGATGTGTAGGAATTCAGATTTCCATGGTATTTTGATTAAATCATCAAAATGTAGCCAGAAATTTATATACTAAAAATTATAATATGGAAAGAAATATTAAGGTGCAACAATAGTGTATATGCTTGTTTGTAGTATGTGAAGCACATATTCTTTTTAATTTAATGTAATTTTAAGTTCTGGGATACATGTGCAGGATGTGCAGGTTTATTACATAGGTAAACGTGTGCCATGGTGGTTTGCTGCGTCTATCAACCCATCACCTAAGTATTAAGCCTAGGATGCATTACCTATTTATCTCGATGATCTCCTTCCCCCCACCCCCACTGACAGGTCCCAGTGTGTGTTGTTCCCTTCCCTGTGCCAATGTGTTCTCATTGTTCAGCTCCCACTTATAAGTGAGAACATGCAGTGTTTGGTTTTCTGTTTCTGCGTTAGTTTGCTGAGGATAATGGCTTCCAGCTCCATCCATGTTCCTGCAAAGGACATGATCTCGTTCCTTTCTATGGCTGCATACTATTCCATGGTATATATGTACCACACTTTCTTTATCCGGTTTATCATTGATGGACATTTGGGTAGATTCCATGTCTTGGCTATTGTGAATAGTGGTGATGCACATTTTCCTTGCAGCTGACATGTATCAGATGATTATAAATCTTATCAGAATCTGACTAATGAAGATTTTTCTAGGGTTTAACTCCATTCATTATAGAGTTAATCTCAGATGATCATTTAAAACATTTGAAAAAGAAAATTTTATTGTCTGCATCCTTTTCAATATCTTCATTATTTTTAATTTTTGGTAAGAAATGTATTTTGTGGTCCATGCAGAGAATGGTTTTGTGTTAGAGAAGTAAAAACAAATACACAGTATATTGTGTTTTCAGGTGGAGGACAGGTCAGAATACACACACACAGACACACACACACACATACACGATACTACTTGTAGATTAACTGATGACCTCAAATCATAAAGTGAACTGGGCCTTAACAGCTTGTGCAGTCTTCACTGCACTCTTGACCTTTGCTAGTTTATTGGAACCAAACTGTTTTCAATCCCCCTAGCAAGACAGTATGTAGTTACAAGCCTGTAAGTTAGGGAACCTCATAAATTCACTGGGATGTATTGGAATATAAAATCGTTATAACTGTGATGGTGTCAATGTCTACTAAGTACAAACACTAATTAAAAATGGCCCTCAGTGAAGGTCACAGACAGTGATGATAAATTACTTGTTTCATATAATTAATGTATTCCTGAAAATATATACATGAAACACATTTTTGTTAATGATTCACATTTCAACTGTTTATATGCAATGATTATTTACAGGACACCAAAGGTTTAAAAAATTGTGTTCTCTGATAATTGTCAAAGGTAAATACTTTTAATATAAAGTTCAAGATTTTTAAATATAAAGTTCAAGATTTTGCCCATTAAAAATAATATTTTCCTGATGTGAGGTCAAATTGGAAATGACTCTGGTTGAAATAGAAATAATTGGATTGCTTTTGGCGAAAAATCTTTCCCTTCTGATATCTCTACCCATACGATTGTTTGGTGTGTAACTGCTGGTATAATTCCTGTATATCTACAGATATGTACATTTTGCTCTAGAGGACGGTAAGCTAGACCTTGAGGGCTATTGTGTGTATTTCTCTGTGAATGTGGCTATTCTGAGACATTTGTAAAGCGAGTATAATCAGTGAACCCATTTTCAGTGATAACACCTTGCCCACCAGACAAGAACACTAGCAAAGAGTGACATTTATTGAACACATGATCGTCCAGGCACCATTCTAAACACTTCTTCTATACTAACTCATTGAAACCCCACAATGTCCCTGTTATTACTGTCCACATTTTGTAGGCTGTGGAATGAAACACAGAGAAGTTACTTAATTTGCTCAAAGTCCCCTAGCTAATAGCTGGTGGATTCAGGATTCAAATTTAGGCAGTCTGACTGCAGAACATACTGTTTTAACAGCTACATTGAGTTGCCTTTTAACAGAGAATAAGAACTCCAGAATTAAATTAAAATATTTAATATTATTTCTGAACTTTGGCTACTGCTATTGGTAGAACTTCTATGTATCCTGACGGATATATTGTCAGTGTCCTCATACACTCTCCCAGAGGAGACCTCTGGGCCCCACTTCAGGAAGCTCTAGAGTGTGCATGCAGGTGTGGTTCCTTCCTCCTGGAGGAGATCTTGCATGGTACACTGTACCATGAAGGACCATAAGGGACGTAAGATACATGATGTACATCCTACAGCCTCGAGATGTGCAACCTGGTGTCCCTGATGGAATGTGAGGAGTTTACCATGATTAAGAGCTCAGAGGCTTTCATTAAAAAAAAAACAAAAAACATTATAATGGAAGTAGCCTGTGTTAGAATCAAACAGCTCAGGTTTTATGATTTAGAATGTACACTGGGCCCTGCTCCTCCACCACTTCCTAGCGATAGTCTCTTTTAGCAGTGTGAAATGGAACTTTCCAGATATTTAAGAAGTATCAGATATGAATATCTCTGTGTGTGTGTGTATATATATATATGATATATATATGCATTTTATAGATTAAAATCATACTTTACATGTTGTTCTGGCATTTTGCTTTTACTTAATAAATTAAAATTATCTTCCAGTCTCAGAAGTCCATGTCAGTATATTGGGAATTAGCTCATTTTAAAAATAGCTGCTGGGTATTCCAGAATATAAATCTATGTAGTATAAATAATAATGCCATTAAAAGTAATCAAATAATTTATGTAACCAATGCCCTACTATTGGAAATTAAGTTGTGTCCCAGTTGTGTGATTCAATGGGACAGTAAACAATGGGACTTGGACATTGAGGGTAGAGAGGCATAATCTTGCCCTCAGGCATTGGTGCATTCCTGCCTCTTAGACCATCAGATCCTTATCTAGCAAATTTTCAAGGTTTTTCATTAATAATAATGACAGATTTTAGATAACATATAACTTTTTGGTGGGGAACCTTAATGTACTCTATGTGGTTGATTGACTTATGAACCTTCACTATATTTTGTCAGTCAAGAGGTAGGCATTAACTTTCTGAATCCTATATTTTTAAAGCAATTACAAATGTTTCACACCTGAAGCTCTAGATTTATGTCTAATTGCTTCAGAGTTATCCTTATCTTCAAAGAACTCTTCAGTGTTGTGTAAAGTTGCATGGTTGGGTTTTAAAAAGTTTTGCTCTTAGTAAGGAGCAAAGAATTCTATAAAGGAAGAAGTGATGTTTTCTGGGTCTGGCTTTACATTCAACTGAGATGTTTTAAGTGCTTATCAGCAAGTAATCATTTAAGTCTCCTTTCTTTGACCTTTGTTAAAATGTTCATCTCTTTCTTTTTCTCCAATTCTCCACTTAAAAATCTGTTATGACCTAACATTAATAGTAAAACTATTTTGTGAAAAGTTCTAAAAATAATAATCGTGAGCAAGTGACTTCTAAATGGCAATTAAATTGATGTCTGGGAGAGACGAGGACATTGTGCTAACTCAACTGCTACTCTCTCTGTGCAAAGTCACATGAGATTTTAATAGCATAGTTTGTTACCTGAGATGGAAAAAAATCTTAGGCTTGAATTAGTCCTAAGATAATCTATAATTGCATTATTTTGTTGAATTGATATGAGTAGTTTCTGTAATTTTTAGAAAAATTAATCCAAGGAAGAATTATTTTAAATATATTCACATACGTTATGTTCAAAATATTCTGCACAAGGTTTTCAGAGTATGAAGATACAAACTACGGTAGAGACTCAAGTTGTAATTTTTTAACAATTTGGGTAGAGTTACTCAAAATTCTGTTCCTTCTACAGAATACTTCATGCTTGTATGAATTCATGGGAGGGGCAGATTGTGTTATTTGGAGTAACAATTTCACACACCTTGTGACATACGAGATGGGGAGTTTAGACTGTCCTAAGGCAAACATTCCCGTGTGTCAAAGCTGCAAACTTCCAGCCAGCACCACATACTTAACTTTCCAGGAATCGCCATCTGGAGGAGGCCTCAGTAATACAGCAACACCTTGTTAGTCTGGACATATCTCACTGACTCATTCTTTGGAATGTGTCACCAGCATCTGGGCAACTTTAGATGGAGGCCTTCAGTATCGTGAGTGCAGGGATACCTGTGAAATATAATGGTTGTGCAAGTTTCATTGAACAGTAGTTGATGTGACCTACAAAGCCTAATACATTTGTTTTTCGTCATGATCTATGTAAGCCCATGCTTTATTGGAATCTGTGTTAGAAAACATGTCAGTCTATTATTCCATTATTATTACAGCATTTTGCTACTGCCATCATTCATCCCTCACTCAACGAACATTCATTGGGTACCTTTTAAGTAATAGGTATTAGATACAAAAATACAGAGGTGAAAAAGATACCTTTTTCCCTCAAGGCTGTCACAAAGGCAAATAGTTCGATGACAGTGTGAAACGGGCTACAAAATATGTAACAATATGGGTCTTGATTGCGCAAAGAAGGATATGACGAGCTGCAGCTGAGATGTTAGGGGAGGTCAAGGAGGTTTTTACAAATAACGTAACTCAAGCTAGGTCTTGAGGGCTGAACAGATTTTACCAAATAAATAGGAAGGAAAATACTTTCTCTCTAAAGAGAGAATAAGCACAGAGGTGTGTATTTAACACATTCTATAAAGGGAAGTGCAAATGATTCTTTCAACAGTATTGATGAAATTGTGAATCAAAAGTATCTGAGATAGGACTCAATCAATTTATTTTGCCAAGGTTAAAGACACACCCATGAACACAGCCTCAGGAGATAAAAAAGCTACAATTTGCCTACAAGGAAATTCTTTGTGGGCTTCAAGATGATGACATGTGCCCAATGTGGCTGGGGTACAGCTTGGGTTTTGTCTTTTAGGGAGACACAAGACATCAATCAATATGTGTAAGATGTAGATTGGTTTGGTCTGGAAAGGCAAGACAACTTGCAGTGGGTAGGAGGCTTTCAGGTCGTAGATTGGTAAGAGACAAACAGTGGCATTCTTTTGAGTCTTTGATCAGCCTTTCACTGAATACAGAATTTACATGTGAGAGAGGGGGTAGAGGAAGAGTCACTTTTGTCTTAGTCTGACGCAGTGAATCTACATTTTTATATAAACAGTAGGTGAGAAGAAGCAGTCAGATACGCATTTGCCTTAGATGAGCAGACGGATGACTTTGAGTTCTGTCCTTTGTCCCGCACCTGTGAAGGTAAGCTATCAATTTACATTGCCAGGGTGAAATCAACAGAACTCTTTTAAGGTAAAGATCTTGAGTCCCAAAAGGAATTTCCTTGTGGGAAAATTGTGAGGGAGGTATGTAGCTTTTTTAATCTTTGTAGTTATTTAGGAATAAAATGGGAGGCAGCTTTGCCTGAGCAAGTTCCCAGCTTGACATTTCCCTTTGGCTTAGTGGTTTTGGGGTCCTGAGATTTATTTTTCTTTCAAAAAGTGTATACACCAGACATGGTGAATGATGTAGTCTCATGGTGGGAAGCTACCAGAAGGGAACCTAGAGAGGAAATGAGAATGAAGTCAAAGTAGGCTTCCCCTAACTATCAAAATGAACTTAGAAGAGCCTGATGGTGGAAGTGGAAGCCACAGAAGGATTTTAAATAGGAGACTAATACAGTTTGGAAAAACACGCTGCCGGGTGGAGGATAGATTTGAGGGGTCGAGAGTGTAGGATGGGAAGAGTGAATGAAGAGACTGTTGCAATCAGTAGTCTTAAGTGGGAGGTAGCGAGGTCCAGGAAGTGAGGATGGATTGAAGCGATCCATCTACTGTGCAAGAAAGCAGAGTGTGGGAGTACTGGGGACTGATTCAATTTGAGAGGACTGGAGGTGTGAAAAGGAAGCTTGAATTACAGCATGATTGTTCCAGGAGGCACCTGACGAGGTACTTCCGTGGAGAAGATAATGCTTTCAGCTTAGGACATTGTGGTAAAGCTTTTCAGAAGGCAGTTGGGTGTATCTATGTCAGAAGCTTAGAAGAGGGGCCTAGGTTGGGGGCACGGCTTTGGGGTGATTACATTGAGCTGGTATTGAAGCTACAGGGGTTGATGAGATCACCAAGTATTTTAGGTGAGAAGACAAGAAACGATACACAGAACTTTGAATGACACCAATAGTGAAGACTTGGATGGTGAAGGGGAGCTGGCAAAGAGATTGAGAGAGAATGCACAGCAAGACAGAAAAACAAGAAGTCTATTAGCAAACTGAATGTATTTTCTTTATGCCTCACTGCTTTCATGACTGTGTCTAATATTTTTCCATGAGTCCAATATACATTTTTACTAGGTATATTGCTTTTATTTTTAGATATAATGGTTTTCAATTCCTTGTGACTTGACACTGGACTCCAATTTTTATAGACAAGACACTTTGGAATTTAAACTATATGCATTCACATAGTGTTTATAAAGGGTGAAAGTAAATCTAAACTCTTGATTCAAGACTCAGGATAGCAGAGATGCACCAGGGGAAGGGGAAGAGGAGTGAGAATTAGAGCAATCTATTATAAGGGAGGATATTTTGAGAGGAAAACTTTTCTCTCTTAAAGACAAATTGTTTTCTTGCTAACTGTATCTCAACATCTTAAAAGAATCCCTAGTTTATGTAATTGCTGATGGCTAATGATAGACATGTCCTGGTGTATGAGTAAATGTAGATAAGGTTTATGAGCCATTTATTAAAACAACTTGTCTCCTTAGTGGCTAAAATTCCCCCCCCCCATGTTTTCCTCAAGGAGTCATCCAATGCTGTTGTTTTCTATGGAACCCTATAGCTATTCTGTAGGTATTTCAATTTTCAAACGAATGTTGCAGGTGTGTGTGTGTGTGTGTGTGTGTGTGTGTGTGTGTGTGTAAAAATATAGATATTGTGGTTTGGGTATTTTATAATGGTGAAATCTATAAACTTACAGCTTTCAGTACATTTCAAAGGCTCAATAATAAACCATAATGTTTGACAACTTCCCAGCCATATTCATATATTATGACGTGTATCTCCTTTAACCAAAAAAGCTGCGTTTTAAACATTTGCTTGTAGTTAGGTTGCAGAACACTTTTCCCCCCATGGAAATAATGTCATAAGTGGGACTTGCATTCAAGCCCTGCTTACTGTGGTTGTTTGAAATATGTTCAGAAATTCTTTGACAAAACCTCCAAATGGTAGAGCTAATTCCTCTCCCTTCAGCATGGGCTGGATTTAGTGACTTACTTCTAACGAATAGAATAAAAAAGCAGAGGCAACTGAATGTGGCTTCAGAGACTAGATGACAAAAGGCACCTTGGCTCTCTTTTCTCCCTTTCTCCTGGATCCCTCGCCCTGGGGCCAGGCAGCTGTCACGTCCTGAGGATGCTCAGGCAGCCTGTGGAAAGGCCCCCATGGTGAGGAACGGAGGTCTCTGACCAAACGCCATGTGAAGACTCCAGCTTGGAAGTTGACCTGCCAGTCCCTGTCAAGCCTTGAGAAGACTGCGGGCCTGATGATAACCTCACTGCCTAGAACCACCCAGCTAAGACGCTCTGCATTTCTGACCCACAACAACTGTCAGATAATACATCTTTGTTGTCTTAAGCCACTGAATTTTGCAGTAACTAGTTACCCATAACTAATACACCCACAAAACCCTGTTTAATTCAATTTGAATACTCTCTAAAGATTTCCAACAAAAAACTATTAAAATATAATTTCAGGCAAAGGAGACACTGTGAACCTGAATAAATAATGTAATTTGAAGATACGTTTGAGGGGAAAGAAAGCACATTTAATTAGAGAAAGATGAGGAAGAATTTTTGTTTGTTTGTTTACTGTTTTGACTTAGGTTCCAAAGGGAAATCCTGGGTTTTTAACTGGGTATAATTTTATCATACTTGTAACTGTACTTTTTACAAAATTTTTAGTCTTTTTTGATTCACGTAGGAAAGAAACATAATGAGAGACTTAGAAGGGAGGGAGAATAATTTTCCTGAGGCAAGAGTTAGAAGAGAGGTAGAAAGGGAGATGGGGAGAGAGTTCCATGAGGCCTGAGAAAGGAGAGGAAGCCCTTAGCAGTTAGTGGTGAGAAGCAGAAGAGAGTGCCCAGTGCTGGCCTGCAGGTCTGAGGAGGAGCAATGTGGGTATTGTGGTGGATACCTCCACCCCCAGAAGAGGAGAATCTGTTGCTTCCCGAAGCAAGTTAGGTTGGAATGATCTGGAGTTTCCAGTGGTGAGAGGGAGGCCGTGTCCGGTGACTATGCTTATGTAGAAAGCTTGCAGAAGTTGAATGGACATTCAAGGGAAACTTGGATGAATATGGCTGCATCTTACGCCACTCCCTACTTCAGTGGCAGCTCTGTTATTCCCACATAGCTTCCTTTGAGTTTCCATATCATCATTTTACACCTGACTACCTGGGCAATTGTCAAGAAGTACAATACTTGGCTGACTGGTCAGCCCCTTCCTGTGTTCTGTACAAAGGCCATGGCAGGAAGCTTGACTTTTGCCAAGTACAAAAAGGACTTTTATTTGTCCTAAAAAGTTCTTCAATTTGCTAAGGAGGGTGTGCAAGTTAACCACACAAGATAGGAAGAGAGTTGGGAAAACAAGATCCATCACAGTTTCCACATGGGCAGGAAGTGTAGCAAGGCATCTGCCTTTGCTCCACGTGAGCTTAAAGGACATTTTTGTGAAGCCGATAGATTCTTTCTTTAGACCTGTTGGGGAGGTGATTTTTTCTTTTTTAAAGAGGGTTTCACTCTGTTGCCTAGGCTGGAGTGCAGTGCGATGGCACAATGATAGCTCCCAGCAACCTCAAACTTTTGGGCTCAAGGGATCCCCCTGCCTCAGCCTCCTGAGTAGCTGGGACTACAGGCATGCGCCACCACACTGGCTGATTTTTAAATTTTTTTTGTAGAGACAGGGGTCTTACTATATTGCCCAGGTTGATGTCAAACTCCTGGCTGAATTTTTGAGGTTAAATTACCTGCTATATGCTATCATATAAGGATCTGGTAAATGTGTGTTAATTTATTATTAATGAATGTTTTCACGAGTGTGTGTTTTTAACAGTTCACCATAGTCCATGTTCACTCTTGTCTCTCTTCTCCATTTTCTTCTCAGGTTTGTATTTGAAAACAGTGCAGCATAATTCATTGTGAATGCACATATATAATTATAATTTTCCCCCCTTAGTATCAGCTTTATTCTGAGGAGAAAAATGGGGTTCATCATTTCCATGGGACTACTGATCAGTGAAAGTAATATTTTAAAAATATTTATAGATTTGTTGCACCACAATTTCCCATATAGTGAAAGTACAAATTCCCAGAATTTGTCCTACTTTAACCTAAAACCATGGGTTCATAATATGTTATATTTAGGTAAAACCAAGGAATCAAACACGCTCAGGGTTTTTAACTTTCTTTCTAGAAAAAATCACTTCTCAGCCTTCTGGCTTTGAAGTTTCTATTGATAAAAAGAAAGAGATGCATTTTTATTATCTTTCTGGAGCTAAAGTTTGCAGATTTTTATGACTCCCGATCAAGTGGCATTATTATGGAAACTCTCTTAATAGGCTTATTCAACATGTTCAAATCAGAAAACATGACCTGCTAATAACACGACATCAATTCTCTTTTGGAGTTTGTAAGCAATAGAATGAATATTATATTCATCATTGACATGGAGAATACAGCTGAGAGGGTTGTGTCACCTGAGAAGAGCCACATGTAATTAAATTGAGTGTATGGAGAGCAGACATGGAGAAGTTTGGGTATAAAGGGAAGTTGACTATGTCAGCACAACCAGGATTTCACAGTGCTGGTGGAGCCAGTTTGGGCTGGAGGAGTGGAGGAGCAAAGAGATGATGGTTGGTGTGAATTTAGTTTCCGGGGCAACTGATCTGGATCATGGTTTCTGAACAGCAGCACTAGTGACATTTTGGGCTGGAGAATCCTCTGTTGTGGGGAGCTTTCCTGTGAATTGCCGAATGTTTAGCAGCGTCTCTGCCCTCTACCCAATAGGTGCCAGTATCATTACCCCAGTCTCCCAGTTTTGACAACCAAAAAGGTCTCCCACTTTGTGATATGTTCCCAAGGGGCAAAATGGCCAGAGTGGAGAACCAGTGGTCTAGATAAAACCAGAGGGCAGCATTGGGATAGCAACTCGGGCTTCAGTTTTCAGGAAGAGAAGATTGTTGAGTACGAAGTACCTTTTTGCTAAAGGAATGCAAACGAAGTTGGTAAAGAAAAGTGGCCTTGTGTCTGATGTGGCCTCCTACAAACCCAACACCTGGCTAAATTGCTCAGCCTGGGCTGGGGGAGGATTCTTCTTCAGTTTCCTGGTTTCTTGATCTCTCTGATTCATTTGATCCCAGGTGGGGCTGAGAGGGATTTTATATTTCAGACTGTGGTTTCCAGGTGATGCTGATGCATTGCAAAGATGTCACATTTTGAGAACCACTGCTCTGGAATAACCATCTTTGGTGCTATCTGGTGTTAGACTTTTCTTGATTATCTTTGTGATTTTCTCTATGCCCAGGCTTGCTACCCTTAGTTTTTCTTATGTTGGCTCCTTCTGTTTCATCTTGGCATTGCTCACTTCCTGTAGTCCTTAATTATCTTCCTTAATTCACATTCTGCACTCATGGATGAAGGGAGAAATGCCTCTTCTTTCTTTTTCATCTCTCACTGGTTGTCTGTTTTTTCTTTGCTTCAAACTACAGGAGACTCAGTTTCCCTCATGCTGTATCCCATAACATCTCCCAAGGCTGCTCATCTTTTAGGAAACTGGTTACTTAAGGTTAGGCTACATATATCACAGTTGTCAATAATGTAGAGTTCTTAACATTTTATATGCTGTTTGGACTATAGTAACACATTTTTAGGGAATATCTGACTTTTAGATCCTTTTCTGAGCTGTAACTGATTTCTTGGAACTCATCTTTCTACAGGGGACATTTGAATTATTTTGCATAAATGAATAATTTTACACTTGCCCACATCAAAGCTTATCTGCGAATTTCTTGCCCACTCACACATCCTCATGAGATGTGCTTATCAGATTGCAATTTTTTTTTACCCAGAAAATCTTACTTAGGGTCATATGCATTCTTAGAGATATTACTGTATCTATTGTTTCTTAGTTATTAATTTCTTTTTTTGTTTTAGATAGAGATTGGCTCCTGGGAGATCATTACTGTTTATATTTTTATAAACATTCCCTTTGCTGCATGTTGCTAAATGACTCCCTGTCCATGACAAAACAGAATCATATGATTCCATTTGAGTTTCGGGTTAAAAGCAGACTGTTTCCTCTCTAGCATCACCTAGTGTTCTGGGGCCTGATTCCACTTCAGTAGCTGACCCCAGTGACCCATTGTAAAGCTGACAGTTCTGTCACTCTGGATCTTGCAACATGCTCCTGTTAGGTGTGTTTCATGGCCATGCTGTTGGCAACATGCTGGCAATGCCAGGAGTTGGCATTGCCAGCGCTATTAGGAGTCATTGCTTCTTATGCAAAAGCGCCAGAGGACTTCATTAATTTCTGCATCAGGCCTTACTCCCTCCTACTCTACACACTTCCTAAAGCCTCCTTCCACCTTTACAAACTCAGCCCCCTCCTGGCCATGTCAGCTCCTGATCATGTGTCAGGTGTCAGCTTGCACACCTCCACCTCACCACCTCAGGGGGGTCTTCTGTGACACTGAGGAGAAGCTGTCACGCTGGGTGCTCCTGGAGCACCTGCATGTCTCCTTTAGGACACTTTGTACAGTAGAATTATTTAATTATTAGCAATAATGTGATGAGTTCCTCACCCATGAGTTCTCTGAAGGCGGTGATTGTTTCTTCAGTCATTGTAAATGCCTGATGTCAGGCATAGGGCCTAGTACCTAGAAGGACCTCAATATTGACTGACTGGCAGGTCTGCTTCTCCTGTCCACTTCTGGAATAACACTAAAGAACCCAGCTTCTGAACTTTGCCATTTTAACTGGCCATGCTCATACATCTCTCCATGTATTTCCCCTTTATTTTCAGGCTCTGCTAGGTTCCTTAGCTTTTCTTCATAGAACGTAGTCTCCAGACCTCCTACCACCCTGGCTATCCACTTTTGGATGTTCTATTGAACGCCGTGTTCTGGGCATCAGCACAAGACACATGACAGTGGTTTTCTACTCCATTAGAATATGGCTTTTCTTAAATACACAACAGAACTGCTTTAATGATTGTAGCACCTGAGTCACATTGTTGACTAATGCTAAAATTCTGATCACTGCAATGCCTCAGCTATTCATAGGATGCATTTTAACTATACAAGCAATACATAATCACTATAAAAACTAGAAAATTAAGATGAAAAATAATAATTTAAAATCATCAATTAATGCCACTACCAAGAAACATGCAGTGTTGAAATTTTATAACCTTAAAGACTTTTCCCATGAGCCATCTTTATTGATATATATGCATACATGTTACGTGTAATGTATATATGTATATGTATGTGTGTATATTCTGAGCTTATATGTTCTCTCTCTCTATATATAAATATATATGGCTCTGTAGGCTGCCATGTATGACAAAGTCTCTTTGTGTCAGTAAACAGAGTTCCACTCTGCCTTGAGAAGCAAGGTGGCATAGTGGATAAGAATCTAGGGTTTGAATTCAGG